CTGTTTCACCATAAATAAATATTATCAATGTAACTAAAGATAATGCAGCACTTGATCCTTTTATTGATTTCACACAGATACATACAGGTCATTTCCTAAAAAAGGGAAATGTACTATTAACATTCTATTACATGTATGTGATTATTACAGATGTAATTCATATTTCACAGTAGTAATTGCAAATTACTTTGTGTAATCAAGATGAGAGACCACGGCTATAAAAGCGAAGGTGGATTTGGGAAGCCTGTCGCAGCCATGTCCTGTCCGTATACGCGACCAACCCATTGCGGAAGGTGCAAGATTGATAAGGAGAGTCCTCAGAATTCAGCGTATATTGCGGGATAGACAGGATCCTTTAGCTCAGCGCGACAGTGTGCTCATAGAGAGATATCGATATTCCCGTGAGGGTATTATTTACTTAACCAACTTGTTGACGAGGGGGTGCAGGACCACCACCTGTCTTTTTTTCCTCTGCCCTTTTCTTGGTTGCTGTTATGAACAAACTAACAGAGTATTACAGGCCAGTATTACCTTGCCAAGAGACGCAAAGCAATCTAAGAGATAAATATTACCATTCTGTAGAATACTCCTGTATTCCACTTTTACTTGTTCCCATGTTCTTGTGGGTCCTGTTGTGGCTCTAATGTGAAAGGGGATATAATATAACATATTATAATATAATATAATGCCATATGATATTGGACAATATAGTGTCATATGATAGATCTACCCTACCGCCTACTGGTGTTGGCCAGAGGGGCCGATGGCGCGATATGGCAGCCTGGCTACAACCGTAGCTGCCTCCACCAGTGTGTGAATGTGGGAGTGAATGAATAGTGGTATCGTAAAGCGCTTTGGGTGCCTTGGAAAGCGCTATATAAATCCAATCCATTATTATTATTATTATTAAATTACCTACGAGTTTGATTTGTCAGCAACTTTCTGCCAGCCCTCTCTCCTTGCTTTTGCAGCCTTTGCAGTGTTCTCTTGCGTTTTAATTAAACTCTGAAACTCCTGAAATCCCTCACTCATGAGTTCTTGCTCTGCTGCCGGAAAATACCGAGCACGCCCCTTCGACATTTTCGCCGACCAATCAGCGGGTTGCCGATCAATGTTTCTACTATCGATGCGTAGCCCCTTTTACGACACCCAGTGGTGTCACATTCCTGCGTCCAGCTGTAGTAATCGTCAACAGCAGGTGTGTTCGGGGAACCGGATTAGCGAGCTCACGGTTAGCGCGATGATTTGATCTTGGATGTAGTAAGCGACGTACGAAGAACGGGCCCCAGACCTCATCGTTAGTCCAGAGGTTTGTAAGCCAGAAGTCAGACATTGTGGAAAGGTTTAAAACTAGCCAGTTATTTTCAGGCTACTGTCGCTGACCACTATAGCATACACCTGTTGATGAACTAATCATACATTTCTCTTATGTGGTGATTATTAACTATTAATGCCACCGTTATCTGAAAACACAGCCGCTGATTAATGTCCCTGTGTGTGTGTGTGTGTGTGTGTGTGTGTGTGTGTGTGTGTGTGTGTGTGTGTGTGTGTGTGTGTCAGTCGAAGCTGCTGTCATTATTTGCAGCCACTCCTACGCAGAACAATAAGCAGCATGGAAACCTCAGTGAGTCATAGCTTTCTCTAGGAGACTGAGCATCCATCAGTCTCGCTCTTCCCTTTTCTCTCATTTCTAAAGGTCAGTCCTGATGCCACTCAGCTGGCAATAAAATGCCTGCAAAACAAATCCAAACACATGAAAATATATCTGCACTTACCTACAGGCTAAAAAGTGTCTGGATTCTTGTTACACACATTCTTTCTCTCAGAGCATCTTCCAAGCAGCATTCTAGCATCCACACAAATAATAATGGTATAGATAAAAAAGTTAGTAAAGCAAATTACATACTGGATACAATATGCATCCTGTTACACGGGACATATACAGACCACACATATAATGAAAATATACAATTTCAACATTTTCTTTATGAAGCGCATAAATCACGACTATAAATCTGAGCTTGAAGTTTGATCTTGGGGAACGCTAACTTTACCCCAAAGTGAAATACATTTTGACAAAATACCAAAGTGGCAAGCTGTTTTTGCCCAATATTTTTTCCTGTATTTTATAATAACCCCCCCCCCCCCCCCCCCCCCCAAAAAAAAACAACAAAAAAAAAAACAAACAAAACAGAAATCCTGCCCTCACTATCAGTTGGTCTCACAAATGTTAACTTTGCAGTTCAAAAGAAAATATACCGAAACTATATTTCTTTGCAGTTATAAGTATATTAAATGGTAACTTTTTTAGTAACTATGCACTGTGTGCACAATTATTAAAGTAAGAGTAATAAAACAACTCAGAATTTACATATAAACATTTCTGACATGTCAAAGAAAATCAGTGACCAATATAGCTACCCTCACAAGCCTTCCATTCATGGAGTCTGTCAGTTTCTTGATGTGTTGATGATCAACTTTTTGTGCAGCAGCAACCACAGCCTTCCAGACACTGTTCAGAGAGGTGTACTGTTTTCCTCTACTATAAATCTCTTGCTTAAGCAGGGCACACAGGTTCTCAATAGGGTTTAGGTCAGATGAGGAATGGGGGCCATGTCATTATTTTTTCATCCTTAAGGCCTTTACTGGCTAAGCATGCAGTGGAGTACTTCGATGCATGCGATGGAGCATTGTCCTGCATAAAAATACTAGTCTTCTTGAAAGATGCAGACTTTTTCCTGTACCACTGCTTGAAGAAAACTGGGAGTAAGTTTGATTTTGAGGCCATCTTCAACCTGAAAAGGCCCAGCTAGCTCATCTTAATAAATACCAGCCCATACCAGTACCCCACCTTCACCTTGCTGGCGTCTGAGTCAAAGTGGAGCTCTGTGTCCTTTACAGATCCAGCCATGGGCCCAGCCATCTGGTCCATCAAGAGTCACTCTCATCTCATCAGTCCATAAAACCTTTGAAAAATCTGTCTTCAGATATTTCTTGGCCCATTCTTGATGTTTCAACTTGTGTGTTTTGTTCAGTGGTGGTGGGGTTTCAGCCTTCCTTACCTTGGCCATGTGTCTAAGCACTGAAAACCTTGTACTTCTGGACACTCTGGGTAGGCTGCAGTTCTGGAATATGGCAGCCCTATAGGATAATTGGTTCCTGATAGCTTCACTTTTGATTCTTCTCAAATCTTTGGTAGTTAATTTCCGTCTTTTTTTCTCAATACGTTTCTTGCGACCCTGTTTGCAACAAAACATTTGATGTGGTTACGCCCCAATATCTTAGCAGTTTCAAGACTGCTGCATCCCTCTGAAATACCTTTACATCTTTTTTTTTTGGCCCATTTTGCCTGAGGAAGAGAAGCTGCATAGAAATTATGCACACTTTTATATAGAGTGTTGATCTTCCCAGGCCACGCCCTCACTCATTATGCAAATACACATCACCTGATATGCTTAAATCCAATAAGCACACAAGTTTATACAGCTTGAAAATTTGCATAAAAATTATGATATGGCCAAAATACTCACTTGCCTAATAATTGTGCACACAGTGTATTGATTCAACCACAACAGAATGAACTTTTGGGAATTTACTTATTTGGATGATTGAGCATGCATCAAGAAATATTTAGTGACATTTTTTATTAAAGTGCAGCCTAAGCTTTAAGCATGGTCATTAGCTTTGAAAGTGTGATATTAGATAAATTAGTTGATCTGATGATGGAGCTTGAGGAGAAGTTGTTACTAAACCCTGAATTTATGTAAAATATATAGGCTAATGCTTTGGATGGTAGCAGAAGGACATTACCATCCACAACGTCTTGCCAGCAGCACAGCTAAAAATGAGCACTCAAGCAGAAAAAACTGAGAGTCCTAGAGCTCACTCGTGGTCTGCAAAGCGTAAATGCAGAATATTTTGGTGTTCCAGCGTTTTCTGCTTTGACAGGATCAAGCAGGAAATAAATGTAGTATTTTAGAACTACAGTTATGTATTTGGGAGCTGGACCAGACGTTTACAGAACAAATTTGTGCCTAGATTAAACCTTTCCCCTGCACACTGCACGAGCTAGAGCAAAATGTCAGGATTTCTCACAATCTAATTGGCAGATTGCCATGAAATGAGCACATTCATGCTACCAAGAAAGTGACCTTTCCTTTACTCCCACACTCAGGACAAACTTTACAATTTTTGGTCCCGCTGTTAGTTAAGTTCTAAAAACATCAAGATTGACAGTAGTATTTGTGTTACATGGAGCACTCTCATACTCTTGTTGTACTTGTTAAAAACCCAAACATAAAGCTTTGCTAGTGTTTTAACCTTTTAATTTTGTTCCCAAACAAATCAACTTTTGGGTCCTTATAATGGAGCATGATGGATAATGTAAATGATTAATGTCATCAGTGACTTGAGCTCAAACAAATAGCATAGCATGGTTGTTTTGCTCAGTTGTACTGCATCCAGCATACACAGCCTGTGCTCTGCTTTAGGCTTCATATTAAAGTCAGTGACAGGAGCTTTTCCTCAAAATACTTTCAACTGTGGCAGTCTAATCCTCTCCTGCACACTTTCATGTGGCGTTGTCATTCATGTTGACTTTTGAAGTTTTAACAAGACTGCTGTTCATGCGTGAAGCTCTGCCAACAGGTTTATGCTTCATTGGCTTTGATGGGGCTTGAGATGTGACAAATTTTGTTTTTTGGCCTCCTCTCCAGAAACCAGACAGTCAGACAGCAGGAAGCAGTTCAGAGGGCTTTAATTCAATGCTTTAGGGGGTCGGGAAGTTTAAAAAGCTGCATTCAGAATGTAAACGTCTTTGACATACTCGCTCGGACTTACATATGAGGGAATGAATGAATTCGTAGCAGTCATGGAACCTGTATTCTTTTCTCTTTTTTCCCTCATTATCTTTCCTTTTTTTTAATGTAGAGCCTGTTTATATGAAATGTGCTACATAAATATATTGCTAATACATATGGTCTTACTTAATGTGTGTGTAGGACCTAGGCATGGAATCAACATCACTGGATGACGTGTTGTACCGCTACGCCAGCTTCAGAAACCTGGTTGATCCCATCACGCATGATCTGATTATCAGTCTGGCGCGATACGTACACTGCCCCAAGACGGTAGGACAAACACACACACACACACACACACACACACACACACACACACACACACACACACACACACACAGTGTAAATAAATGTTAATAAAACCTAGTACCTCCTACTGTAAAGGCTCCTGGGCATGCTAACATAAACACACACACTGTCACTGACTGATGCTATTTATTGCGTTGCTGCTATCAGATGATCTCCTGACTCATTTCTTTGATACTATTTGGTTACGGAAGTGCTCTAAAGTGGCTGTGTATTATATGTGCGTCCTTGAGGGAACTACTGCTGCTTGTGTTTGTTCACTCATGTAGTCCGGTGTCACTGAAGGACAGAAAAGGAGAGGGAAAGAGAGCATGGAAGCAGCGACACACAATGAATAATGCAAGGAAGAAGGAGTGATGGAGATGAAGATAGGAATTCAGAGGCCTGATGTGTCATTTCAGTACATTCTGTTGTGAAACACTGTTGCCCTGAAGCTGGCTGCGTTAAAAGTCTTTTTTCAAGCAAACACTGACTCCATTTCAATGTTCTCAGCCTATGATGATGCAGAAACATTACTGAAATGATTAACTAATTGGTATAATCTATATGTGAGTGATTTGTGGCCATAAATCCTGACCTTTCTAAAGCAGGCTTTGCACTTTAATTTGATGGGTTTCCTGTGAAAACAGAATGCTTGAGATGTGAAAAATAAGTATTGCATATCTGCACAACTTCCACAGAGAAAAGGCAAAGAAACACTAATGGCAAATATTTAGTGCAGACCCATGATTGCCCAAGAGTCAATACATTTTTACCAGCTGTGCGTCATCATGGCAGAATTTGCTAATTACGCTGGCAAGTGTGAGTGTGTATGTTTGTGGAAAGCTCAATTATATAGGGATACCATGTGTTTGCGTTCCCTCGTACACACCGAGACATGCCTAGACATGCCTAAAACTGAGAGCAGCCACCCTCTGATGATATTTTATGCCTGATTTAGGTTTCTGCAGGGAATCTTTGTAGTCCCCACGTAATTTAGAGGTGGGCCGATCGATCTAGTATAGACACCAACAAATTTATACTAGTGTGATAGAATCAATGCTTTGTTTCTATGCTCTAAGTTCAGTGTGTAGCCCACTGAAATTAGTTTTTTGGAAATGAAACGATGCACCTCAAACATGCACTATGAAAAATGTCTGAACCTTTTTGTGTTGACTGTTGCATCTATTTTATTTATTTTTCTATAAAATATTTAAATAACAGAGGTTCACCCAAAGTGCTTTAGAGACAGACATTTTACATTTCAAGTCTCAAAAATTTCAAAATAAATGAAAAGCTGGTATGTTTTTGTTGTCTTCAATAATTTTGGAAAGTAAAAATCACAGTGATTTAGTGGTCATTAAAATGTGCTCAGAATTTGCTAATTGATTATGATTTATCTGATAAAAAGTAGCTTCAGATTTTTTTTTATAATAATAACTAGCATGTTTGTGCCCTAAATTAGTGGTTCTCTAACTGTGGTACGCATACCACTGGTTGTACGTGGGCTCCCTCTAGTGTTACGCGGGAAGTCTCTTTTTTTTTGTTTAAGATCAAATGATATATGTCTTATATATACTACTTATTGGGGGATTTCTGAAAAATTAAAACACACACCTCTGCTATATGCTGCATAAATGAAGACAGGAAACTAAACAGCAGTGATGTTTGTAGGGTTACTGAAGTTGGGCTAGCTGGTATATAATGGTGTGCTATGTGATCGCTAGCGACACAGCTATGTTTGCATGATGTAAACACATTAACACAGTGAAGCTGGAGGATGAAAACGAACTTTTTTCCACTCGATAAAAGTTAACATGAGGGTTCCCAATGTTAGGGACAAATGCAATCGCATAGCAGGATGCTGTAAATGGACCAAACGTCAGTCAGGAGAACAACTGAGATAATCCATCAACAATACGAGGTTAGTCATTAATATACTGCTGTATGGGCTGGGCTGTAGTTACATCGTAAGGTTTAACAGCTGAGCTTTGAAATGAATAGTGGTAGCAAAAACCAAGATAGGCCCACAGTGATCTCTGCCTTTATTTAGGGGCTTGTTTAGATTAAATAGAACAAGATACAAAGCATTAAAACGTTAAAAACACAACAGCCTTAATAAACGCAGATTAGTTTTGAACGGGAAGCAGGGTTTATACGTCATCACTTAAAGACCGGATATCCCACCTGCTGTGAATGTTTTAATGCAGTACAGTTGTTATTATTATCACTTGTCACATCCTGTTTATGACAGTTAAAATAAATAACATTCATATAAGAAATAAAATTGTCTCATGTAAACTATATGGTGTTAAATAGGCGTATACTATTGTACTTTAATGTCAGTCATAAGGGTGGTACTTTAAGAGCCATATATTTTATGAGGTTGTGTTCATTGTGAAAAGTTTGAGAACCAATGCCCTAAATCAAGTTATCTCCATTAATGCTTGCTAACATAATGCGCTTTCTCAAAGAAAAAGGCTAACTGCATTAGTAATCCTGGACAAGGATCATTGATGAAACACCCAGAACACACATAATCTCCATATAAAAGATTTGGCATCACTCACTGGTTTGAAAGCCTTGACTTCAGCATTTAGACTGCAGGCATATAGGTTTTAACTGACTTAAAGTGGATTAGAGTGTGAAGTGTTACGCTATCAGCTAATGCTAGCTCTTTACATCTAGTCTTCACTACAATGACAATAGTGAAAACAGTCCCCTTTGGCTTTTTATAACCAAGAGGTTTTATCCATCTTTTATATGCAGTTTATGAAACTGACTTGCTCTTTCCCCATTAAAGTGAGTTTTTGCCTTGCTTGCTGCTTAGAAACAAAACATGAAAACTTGAAGATTAGCATTATTTTTTTTAAGTAAGCTAATTTTAGCATAGCATTGGATGTAATAGCACCCTTTCATATTGCTATTAGACAGCCATCTAAACTTTCCGACATGTAGTACAGAAATATACTGCAAATGTCAAGATGACATTGACAAGATGGCGCCGAGTATGGCAGCCTCGTCGCGAGCTCCCCCAAGCAACGGCTTTCTTCTGTGTTTAATTTTACTTTTCCTTTATTTTTTCACGAGCAGCACTTGTCTCCTTGTGTACGACCGACAAACCTTACTGGACATAAAAGACGGTCTTTCTTATAACTTTCCGGAGTTCAAGTTTTGCAACACGGACGCTCCGTTTGCAGACCCCCCATTCATCTCACCTGAGACGCCTTTGTTCTCTGGCCCTGGAGGCCGCAAACGCCGACGCAGAGGGAGAAGATCTGGCGTTCTGGTTCGACTGAGACGGCGCACTTACAGACCACCGTTACCCAGTTTATTACTGGCTAATGTGCAGTCTCTGGAGAACAAGCTGTGCGAGCTTCGGGCACGGATCTCATTCCAGCGAGAGATGCGGGACTGCTGCGTGATCTGCCTCACAGAAACCTGGCTATCGGACAAAGTACCGGACTCCGCAATACAACTGCCGGGGTTCTCTGTGCACCGCGCGGACAGGTCACAGGATCTTACTGGGAAAAGCAGAGGCGGTGGTGTATGTTTCATGATCAACAACAGCTGGTGTGATTATGCGAACGTGCACCCGGTCAAATCCTTCTGCTCACCGGACCTGGAGTACCTGATGATTAAGTGCCGGCCATTCTGGCTACCAAGGGAATTTACAGCAGTGATTATTACGGCTGTTTACATACCCCCACAAGCCGACACTGACCGTGCACTCAGGGAACTGTACAGCGCGATCAGCAGTGAGGAAACCGCACACCCAGAGGCAGTGTTTATCACAGCCGGAGACTTTAATAAGGGAAACCTGAAGAAAGTCTCACCAAAACTCCATCAACACATCCTTTTTAACACACGTGGAAACCGGCTACTCGACCACTGTTACACCTCTTTCCGGGATGCGTACAAAGCCCTCCCCCGCGCCCCATTCGGCCAATCAGATCACTGCTCCATCCTGCTCCTGCCCGCCTACAGGCAGAAGCTGAAACAGGAAGCTCCAACCCGGAGGGCGGTGCACTGTTGGACGGACCAATCGGAGTCTGCGCTGCGGGACTGTTTTGATCACGCGGACTGGGAAATGTTTCACGTGGCCGCCAGAGACATTGATGAGTACACAGACTCAGTCTGTGGATTTATCAGGAAATGCGCGGAAGATGTCGTCCCATCCAGAACAGTTAAATCCTTCCCAAATCAAAAACCCTGGATTAACGGAGATGTTCGCGCGGCACTGGCGGCACGGAACACCGCCTTTGCCTCCGCGAACACATCGGACTACAAACACGCACATTACCAACTCCGGAAGACGATCAAAGCAGCCAAACGTGAGTACAGGGACAGGGTGGAGCAACAGTTTGACAACCCTCGGAGTATGTGGCAGGGACTAAACACGATCACAGACTTTAGAGGGAAAACCAGCACACCGCAGACCACGGCCTCTCTGTGTGAGGATCTAAACGTATTCTACGCTAGATTCGACGCAGCGAACACCATGAGACCGGACAGTGTGCGCACCGCGGATGACGTCAGTGCGCACACTGTGTCTGAGGAGGATGTGCGGAAGTGCTTCAGGAAGGTGAACGCGCGCAAAGCTACTGGTCCGGACGGGATTCCCGGCCGCGTCCTCAAGTCATGCGCGGCTCAGCTGGCTGGAGTGTTCACACACATCTTCAACCTTTCCCTCTCTCTGTCTGTAGTCCCAGCCTGCTTCAAAATGGCCACCATCGTCCCTGTACCCAAATCCTCCACCATCTCCTCATTGAACGACTGGCGACCTGTAGCCCTGACCCCCATCGTAAGCAAATGCTTCGAGAAGCTGGTCAGGGACTTCATCTGCTCTGCACTACCCGACTCACTGGACCCTCTACAGTTTGCATACCGCCACAACAGGTCCACTGATGATGCCATAGCCCTGACACTACACACTGCCCTGTCACACCTGGAGAAGAGAGACACGTATGTGAGAATGCTGTTTG